AGTTAAATCACAATATAATAATCATAAAACATATGAAGTAATCCAGTAGATAATAGTAATATTGAGATTCAAATAGAATGTTTTAGACAAAATCTTAAAGAATGTTATAAGTTGCTAGCTACAAAAATGCATGATGTAAATGACTATGAGGTTGTTTTACTTGATAAATATTTGCCAGTAAATAAATATGAACGACATACCTTTATTCAAAATTTACAATTAGATACAACAATTATGCTTTACTGGTACTATCATGGCAACTATCTTGAAACTTTAAATTTTGTATAGCGTGTTCCTCTTGATCCTGATTTAAGGTCAGATAACTTATAGGCAAAAACAATAATTGAAATTCAAAAAAAACTTCCACACATTATTTTACACGGGAAATGAGAAAAAATATATTTGAAAAAGTATTATTATATTTAATAATTTTTTAAATTAATTTATTTAAATTAAATTATTTTAAATTAAAATTCTATTTTATTTATAGTATTCGCTTTTAACTCGGATTACTTCATATGTTTTATGATTATTATATTGTGATTTAACTGGTGACTCAAGTACAGGTGTAACTGAAAAAATAAAGCAAATAGATAAAAGACTTAAACTTATGTTAAAATTAGGTGATCCAGAAATTCTTGTTGATCTTTGAATTAATAATGGTTTTAAAGGTACAAAGTTTGATATATTCTGGAAAAAAGTTGTAGAGTATTTTGAAGAGGTTTGTTATTAATATTCTAATTATAAATTTTATAAACTATTTAACTAATTTATAACTTTAAATATAACATATACTAGAACATACCTGCAGTTCAAGATCGACATCATGGAATTACACTTTATATGCCACTTTTTATATCTATTCGAGACTTAAAAGATATTATAGCATCAAAATTAAAACAAAAACAAGATAATAATATAATTGAAAATTTTTTAGTTCTATCTGAACAATAGATTTCTTTACAATTTTATCCAAAAAATCTATGGGCAAAATTTAGTATAAATTATGTTGGTCAGTTTGAAATTAAATATAAAGTTCAAACATGACAACTTCAAAAATCACATCCTGATGTTCACTATTGTCATGCTATATTTAAATATCTTTGTCATTTTGCAGTAAAATTTAGAGAATATACTGCATTAATATTTGCTGATAATAAGCATAAAGTACCTATCGGTAAAGATATTGCAACATCAACTAGAGTTAGAAATAAACATGTAGCTATACCTATTTCAGCTACATTAAATACAAGTGATCATGACTTTACAAAGTTATCTTTAATACCATCAGTAATATTATTAGTTACAATATCTGAAGAACCAACAGATTCATTTTATAATGGGCAAGTTGTTGTATCATATAAAGATACAATTTTTCAACCTAGTTCAGGTCTTCGACATAGTACTGAATTTTATAATAATTTGAATCAATTATATGATAATTTTTTATCTAAAATTTTATTAGTTTATACAGATAGTGGGCCAGATCACAGATGTATTTTTGGTTCAGTTCAAATTTTTTTAATATGTTTTTTTCTTAAGAGTAATTTTGATATGTTAATAGCTGTTAGAACTGCTTCATATCATAGTTGGGCAAATCCTGCAGAAAGAATTATATCAATTATTAATCTTGCATTACAAGATGTAGCTTTGCAATGTAATCAAATAAGTAAAACTTCCAAATTAAAGTTTGCTCAACTTAAAACTTTAGAATCAATTCGCTATGAAGCAGAAAATAATTTAGAATTAAAAAGAGAGTTAATTGCATCAATTGAAGATGTTCAAAAAATTTTAAATGAAAGAACAAAAAGATTAAAGCTTCATGACAATTATTTTCTTATTGGTCAAACTGCTACAGATTTAGAAATTGAGCAATTTTTTGAGGTATATACACATGTACATATATATGTATAACAATAATTTTAGTTTTTTTACTAATAAGATATTTAATAGATACACATGCAATACATATAATATTTTTGTATAAATTATTAATAAAATATTATACATATTATGTAATATCTATTAAGTAATCTATTTGTAAAACGATTGTTAGTAAAGCAATATAAAACTTTTTTATTTTTAATAATTAAAAATATAATATTTAATAATATATTATTTAGACAATCTATATGATCGATCCAAGTCTTGAAAGAACAATGACTACTTCAAATTTATTAAAAAGACAACAACTATATAATAATTTTTTAAAATCTCATTGTCAAGTTCAAACTAATATATTTCAAATTAAAAAATGTACTAATATCAAATATGGAATATGCCAACCAATTCGAATGCCACTTGATGAGTTTGAAAATTTATGTTTTTTATCTAATCCTAAACTTTTTGCTGGTAAAATCTTATATAAATAAAATTTAATAAATTTTGTTTTAATTAATTCATTTTTAAAAAAATACTCTATTATATAGATAAAGAACATTATAAAGACTTTAATAGTGTATATGGGCATTTAACAAATGAAAGATATCAATTATCACAACAAGAAGTTACAAATAAAGAGTTTCAAACTGGTATATTTGTAAATAACAAAATTCAGCTTTTAGTTTGCTGTGATTTTTGTGGAAAGTATCGCTATATTTACTGTAATACATGTTTAAATGAAGATGATTCCACAATGATCATACAATACCTTGAAAATATCTCATATAGTTGTGGGTCTCCAATTCTTCCAGATAAGTATCCACTTTTTGACCAACTTTATATACATCAAAATCTTACATGTAATTTACCTATTGAGCAAAATTATTATTCATGTCATATAAAGGATGTTGATTTATGCTACTGGTGTGAAGCGGAAGATAATATTATTGATCCTTCTGAGGAATTAAAATCTCAATTTAAAACTATTTATCCGCTTTGCATTTCATGTGAGGCTAATGGCTGTGAATGGTCTACTCGTGCTCCAATTGTATTTCAAAGTAAAACCAAAAAAGTTCATACTATCGTAGTTAAACTATATATTAAAGTATATTGTAGTGTTTTAAAATTAATAAGAAAAAATGTATTTCATGAAATAAGTTAAAAATAATTCTTATTTTTAATTTTGAAACTTATCTATTACAATAAAATTTAGTAAATTTAGTATTTACTTTGAGTTAAATGGAAATTTATAATCATATTCATTTTTTCTGTTCGTTTAAATTATCCTCCCCCTCCTTGTCTCTAAACTTAAAATATTGGTAATAACACAAGATAGCTTTAATTATTTTTATTACTGCATAACATAATCAATAAATGAACAGATTTTAGCTTATCAAAAAATTTACTATATAAAAAATCGAGCGATCAAGAATTTAGTTATTTTAATTTTTTTTCTTGTTTGTAAAATGGTCTTTCACAACTTTTCCATATATATACAGCATAATCAAACATTTAAATTTTCTTCTCTCAATTAAGATAAACAAAAACTTAAGTAAATTATAACATTCTAGATCAATAATTATTTTCTTTGCCTCTTTTTTGAGCCAACTTTCTGGTCAAT